TGCCCTTATTTTGTAGGGCTTGGGGGCACAGGTCGGGCTGAAGAGTTCTAGGGTTGGGCTTAGGGTTTAGGGTTTAGGGTTCAGGGTTTAGGGTTCAGGGTTTAGGGTTTAGGGTTTAGGGGTTTAGGGTTAAGTTTAGGGTTTAGGGTTTAGGGGTTTAGGGTTTAGGGTTTATGGTTTAGGGTTTAGGGCCTGGAGGTAGGGTTTAGCGATTAGGACTTCGGGTTTGGGGTTTCCTTGGAGGTTCATGGGATGCAGTAACTAGGGTTAGAGAGAAGGTACCGATACTTATTAATACCTACTTTGAACCCCAGTTAAGGTACTTATGAGTTGCACTTACTAAGTGGAATAACCACCAACTAGCGCTTAGGGCTCGGAGCTTAGGCTTTGGGCTTTAGGCTACACTCAGTGGTTCAAACAAACCCCAACTTTCAGCTTTTCTAAGGTAGTCTTATTCTGAAAGTTCGTACCTGTTACCCACGAAGTAAGTATGAGGGTTCTATTCAAACCCTAAACCCTAAACCCGAAACTTAAACCCTAAACCCTAGGGTTCCTTTTCAGGTCTCCATCATGGGGTCTCCAAGGGATCTATAGGGTTCTGGGGTTTAGGGTTTCGGACCTTTGGGTTTAGGGGTTTTGAGGACCTGGGGCCTACAGGCGTTTAGGATTTAGGGTTTAGGGTTTAGGGTGTAGGGTTTAGGGTTTAGGGTTTAGGGTTTAGGGTGTAGGGTTTAGGATTATTTTGAACTGCTCAACCCTCAATCGTAAACCCTAAACCTTAAACCGTAAACCCTAAACCGGTGCACCCAGAATCCGGGAACCCTCTCGACCCTAAGCTCTATACGCTGAATCCTACACCCAAAACCCGAAAGCCTAAGCTTCCGAAGCCCTAAATTTCGGGTTTAGGGTTTAGGGTTGAGCCCTAAATACCCTAAAGCCTACACCCTAAGCTTAGCCAAAGTGCTTCAGAGGAGTTCGCAGATGCATTGGCGAAGGAGTTCGAAGAGGACCCCCCAAACCCTGAGACTCTGGAGGGGTTTAGGGTTTAGGGTTCACCTTCCAATTTTCCTTAGTTCAAGGAAGATACCTCGGATTTTAGTAGGATCCCGAATATGATTCAACGAATATGTTCCTTGAGCAAAGGATTTTGGAAAGTTTGGGTAGGTTTCGTTGTAAGGGTTTGGGGTTTCGGGTTCAGGATTTCCTAGGTTTGGGGATTTGAGGTTGAGGGTTTCGGGTGAGGATTAAGGGCGTTTTGCAGTGGGCTGCTCTGCGCAGTTCGGAGGCCCATATGGGTGGTTGTCAAAATTATGGTCCCTTTTTGGGTCCTTATTATAATACGGCACTTATTATTTAGGGTACCCCAAAAGGGACCATAATTTTGACCACTACCCATATACTGAGTAGTTGATTCGGATCCATAGAAATCCGTGCTGGGCGAAAGCATGAACCCTATAGATGTACATGCACCCTATGAAAAGACGTAGTTCGAAAATGTTAGCGACCTGGAAGGAGCCTTGAAAGGAACACCAAACCCTAATCCCTACAAGAATCCTAAACCCTAAACCCTAAACCCTAAAATCAACACCTCAAAGGAAGCGTGAGGGTTCATTCGCCCTTCCGAACTGAACCCTAAACTCTCAACCCTAAACCCCTAAACCCTAAACCCTAAACCCTAAACTCTCAACCCTAAACCGCCCCTTGACCCTGAACTCGTAAGTTCCTGAACTCCGAAAGCCCTACCTGGTGGTTTAGGGTTTAGGGTTGATTTTTTGAGAGTTTTAGGGTTTAGGGATTTCGGGGATTAGGGTTTAGGGTCTTAGGGTTTAGGGGTTTAGGGTTTATGATATTAAGGTTTAGGGTTTTAGGGGCTTTGGGGATTTGAAAGTTCAGAGTCCTCACCTGCTAATTTTATAGCGTTTGGGGCTACAAGTAGACTTACAGTGCCGAACTCCAGAGCTCTAGGTTTAGGGTTTAGGGTTTAGGGCCCAAACCTTACACCTCTGTTGTCACATAGGCTTTAGAGTTTTAGGGTCTTGGGGTTTTAGGGTTTAGGGTTTAAGAATTGTTAATGTAAGGGCCGGTAAGAATCACTTGCAGCCGAAAAGAAAAGACCTACTTTTTTAGGGTTCCTTATTATGGCTTCCATATATTTACATGTATATATATATATAAAATATATTATATATATATATATATATTTCCTTAGAAAGGTAGGTCTTTCCGGCCACAGGTATAGGTAGTCGAAGGTTAAGGGGCCCCGCAAGGCGGCAAAGTTTCGTGCCCAAGGCCCTTTTGACCCTAAACCCCAAACCCCTGAAGGGTTTAGGGTTTAGGGTTTAGGGTTTAGGGTTTAGGGTTTAGGGTTTAGGGTTTAGGGTTTAGGGCTAAACCCCTAAACCCGAACGACTGCGTTGCCAAGACTCCGCGAGTTTTTTTGGGTGGGCCCTGCCCAGGAAGTTTAGGGTCTTGGCTAGGGTTTAGGGTTCAAGTTTTAGGGTTTAGGGTGTGTGATGCGAGCTGCTGTGCAGAGCATGTCAGTAACGACAACGACGATGGCGGCGGCGGCCGCGACGACTGTGATGCAAGCCTTGCTTACTTCTGAGTCGGAGCATGACATGCAAATCCGCACTGTTGGGCTTAAGCTGTTTATCAAATTTGTTGTTTGTTAACCCTGGGTAACGAGGTGTTGATGCTTTTGTTGCATGCGCATTTCTTTCAATATGTCAAGAATCGTACTGGTGTGGGCAGCAACGAAGTAGAAGTAACGTAGGAAAACTGTAAAGACCAAAGGCTTCGTGTTCTTGTGTTCTCCCCATGGCAATTTCTGTGGAAGTGGGATTGCTAAGTGGCAAAAGAGCTTTCGTCACCACAAGCCTGGACGAAGAGGTCGGAACGCTCAAACTTCGGGCAGAGGCCGCGCTTGGGATCGGAATTGGCCGACTGCTAGATTCACACGGAAGTGTTCTGGATACATGTACGTCGATCAAGACAGCTGGTGTGCGGAATGGTGATTCGTTGACTCTCCACACATCTAGACTTCAAGTATGTGGCAGTCAAGGAGCTTTTGCTGCCGTTCTTGGAGACGGGACCGTCGTCACCTGGGGTCACACTGCCTTTGGCGGTGACAGTAGTGGTGTACAGGATCGGCTGAAGAATGTGCAGTCCATCCGAACCACACTGGGGGCTTTTGCTGCCCTTATCGGTGACGGAGCCGTCGTGACCTGGGGTGATGATTTTTTCGGTGGTGACAGTAGTGCTGTGCAGGATCAGCTGAAGAATGTTCAGCAGGTTCAAGCCGCCGGTTTTGCTTTTGCTGCCATTTTGGGCGACGGATGTGTCGTGACCTGGGGCTCTGCTGAGCGTGGTGGTGACAATAGTGCCGTGCAGGGTCAGCTGAAGAATGTGATGCAGATCCAAGCTACTAGGCGGTTGTTTTTGTGGCATTTTGTATTCTCCTTATTTGGGTGTGTAAGGGACCCTTTTTGTAGATATTTTCCGAGGGTTTAAAGGCCATCCCAGGCTAGTGACAGTGCTTTTGCTGCTCTTCTGGGCGACGGATCGGTCGTTACTTGGGGGGATGCTGACTACGGTGGCGACTGTAGTGCTGTACAGGATCAGCTAAAGAATGTTCAGCAGATCCAAGCCACTCAACGCGCCTTTGCTGCTATTCTTGGCGACGGATCAGTCGTCACTTGGGGGGATGCTGATTGCGCTGGCGACAGCAGTGCTGTGCAGGATCAGCTGAAGAATGTAAAAAAGATCCAAGCAACACACGGGGCTTTTGCAGCCGTTCTTTCCGACGGATCCGTCGTGACCTGGGGTCCTGCTGGCTTTGGTGGTGACAGTGGCGCTGTGCAGGATCAGCTGACGCATGTGCAGCAGATCCAAGCCACTGAAAGAGCTTTTGCTGCCATTCTTGGTGACGGGTCAGTCGTCACTTGGGGGGATGCAAAAGATGGCGGTGAGTGTCTTACTCTGCAGATTCTACTGAAGAATGTGTGGCATATCCAGGCCACTGAGGGCGCCTTTGCTGCAATCCTTGGCGATGAATCGGTTGTGACCTGGGGTCGTGTTGATCGTGGTGGTGACAGTAGCGCTGTGCAGCACCAGCTCAAAAACGTGCAGCAGATCCAAGCCTCTTATTACGCTTTCGCTGCCATTCTCGGTGATGGATCGGTCGTGACCTGGGGTCATGCTGATTACGGTGGTGACAGTAGTGCTGTGCAGGATCAACTGAAGAATGTTCAGCAGATCCAAGCCAATGCAGTCGCTTTCGCTGCCATTCTTGAAGATGGCTCTGTTGTGACCTGGGGTGAAGCTGGCTCGGCTGGTGACAGTAGTGCTGTACAGGACCAGCTCCGAAATGCGCAGATTCAATCGCAAGCCTAGGCCTATGCTCTATGTGTCTGAACTTTGTGAAGTTTATGCCATGATCTGGCCTTCTCGGCGCAATATGTAGCGGTGACAGGGTTGCGATGCAGTACCGGAAGTAGAATGCGGCACGAGATATGCACCAACATCTGAACAGTGCCACATCACAAGCCTGGCACGAGGGGCTTGGAAGGAGAGGGAGGCAAGTGGGAAGAGGAAGGAGGATAAGAACAAGAACCAGGATGACGATCAGGAGAACGGCAAGGACAAAGATCAGAAAACCGGTAAACGAGCTATATTGTAGACCCTATCGAGCCTCTTAAAGGAACCCTTCATGGTCCCCAACAAGACTAGACAGATCGAACTTTTTGTAATAAGCTTAAAATGTTTCGGTAACCCCAAAACCTAAACTCCCTAAACTCCGTAAACTCCGTAAACACGACCCCTCCCCATCACAAAAACAAGCCTAGACCCTTCAAGAAAGCGATTTCGTAGGAAACGCCGGCTGAAGCGCTTTTCCCACCTTGAGTCACGTTGATAGAACGAGCCTGTTCAAATCTCTTCTGCCGCAACCCTATCCCTCATCAAGCCCAAGAAAGCCCCATAGAACCCTTCAAAAGCCCTGTAGAATCCCTGTAAAGACCACCTGCACCAGATCCTCAAGAAACCCATAGAATCCATAGAACACCCTAAACCCTGTAACCCCTAAGCCCTAAACCCTAAACCCTAACCTTCTTTTTCTAAGCCATCAAGCCCTAAAGCCCCAACGAAAACCGTTAAACCCTACAGATGCTTTAAAGGAACCCGTACAGCAGCCTTCAGAGCGACCCTCTACAGGCAAAGCCAAGACCCTAAAAAACTTATACACCTTAAACCCTGGATCCAAACCTTAGACCCTAAACCCTAAAACCCCATAGATCCTTTTTGAAGTTTTCTTATAATAGAACCTTTATGGAACCCGCGAAAGAACCCTAAACCTTACCTCAACCCACCAAAACCTACTTTCTTCGTAGGGTCCCTACAAAATCTTTATCAAGGTTTATGGTAAGAATCTGCATAAAAGTTAAGGTATACCCTAAACCCTACACCCTAAACCCTACACCCTAAAACCTAAACCCTAAACCCTACACCCTAAACCCTGCACCCTGAAACCTAAACCC